AAAAAGCAGACGAACTTGACGTAGACATATTGCTAAATTACCCAGACATCAACGAGAATATGGGCGCCTCGCGCCTTCGCCTTTCCCGTATAAAATGTTCGAGTTAAATAACCGAAACAAGGCGTTGACAAACGCGCGTGCATGATGCCTTTTGTTTTATTTAGGCTTTTGGTTTAGAACAGTTCCCGCTGCAGACGCGTGCGGCGCGTAGACCTACATTCCCAGCATTCTCGTGGATGCTGGGATATAATGTAGCAGTAGGTATATATTGTCTGCAACCGTTGCTTCGATCGCGTCATCAGGATGGGCGCTTGTGTACGCGTCGCAACAGCCTCCGTGGGACTAGTACTTACGAGTACGAATAACTGTCGATATCGATAGCTGGGACATTTGCCTAATCTGATGGACGTTCGCCGCCTCGGGCCACGACAACCACCAGAGCTTGACGTGCCTTCGTTGTCCCGTTGTCTGGTAGTCGGTTTTGCGATTATCGCACGATCTTGGCCGACGGAACGGCGAGCATTCGACTCTGATAACAAAAACTAAATTATGAAACAAAACTAAAAAAAGCCCTTTCGAGCAATTGGCAAGTGCCGTGGCTATTTGCCAATTGAGGATTGAAGGAGAAGAAAAACAGACATGAAAGCAGTGGTGTTATGGCTGCGCTATTTGCGCCAGCGTTATGTCGAAAGTTCATACAACTTTCTCAATACCGAAAATAATTGCTCACGTTGCGCTACCCTGTCGGATCCTTAAAGCAGGTTTGAGCAAAGTTTCTTAGCTTTCGCTTATCGCTTCGAATAACGAACTTATCCCGGAGGTTCTGCGCTATTTCCCATTGCTCGTCTGTTAGGGCGGATTAGTGAGCTCCGTTGAGTGCGCTTCTCAAAGCGCAATCTTCTACTGCGGACCAGCGACATCCTCGGGATGGACTCGCGGTTTTGCAGATCTCGCTTGGCCGCAGCGAAGCCGTGTGCTGTGGGGAAAAGCACTCCTTCAGAACAGGATGAGATTGAATTCGAATAATGCTGTTGTGACACTGTATTTTGTCGTAAATATTTTTAAAATAAGACTGCGGAAAGTATATCTGATGTACTGTGATGTCCAGACCAGTTGTATGTTGACAGTGATGTGATTGGTGCGCCATTTGTGCCAAACTGCGCAAACCTGATTACTCTGGTACATTCTGCTACATTTTACAAAATGTGAGGAAGTTTCGCTAACAGTGCGGCAAAACTTAATTTCACTTTAAGTATAGTGGACATATAATAGCATGGGCCTCTTTACCCGGCCGTATCGTTACGATATACTTATGCGAGTTTTCAGAACTCTCGATTATCGCCTCAAATAACGTATTCTTCGATCGCATTTCATATCAAAGACTGGCAGTACTCGGAAGTTTCGCAATAATTTTCATGTTCGTGGTCTGTTCTGCAGGGTTAGTTACGTTGAGTGCGCTTTTCACCGCGCACTGGTGTACTGCGGAGAAGCGACAGCCGCGGAGTAGGCATCGCGATTTTGAATGTCTTGCTTCGCCCTAGCGCACCCCCGTGCTGAGGGGAAAGCACTTCTCCAGAGCGAGACGCGACACATTTTTTGAATACAACTTTGGCTTGTATGATATACTGCGATATCCTGGCGGTACCTCTTTCCAATTCGAAATTTAGCGAGGATACTTGGGTATATTTATACGCACTCTTTTGTAGATTTATTTTATGCCAACTTCTTTCTTTAGTTATCACTTCTATATTGTTGTTAATAAATTCGAACTAAATTGACAGGAGCAGTGGATTGAAGCTCGAGAACAACATTAACGAATTTGGCGGGATTGTTTATAAGAGGGCATATTGATCGGTCACATTCCCATTTTTGTTGTGAAGTCCTAGATATAAAATGTAATTATTGGCGTTCATAATCAAATGACAAGTGCTTTGTTTTTTATATGAATTATAAATTGTTGTTTATTACAACCTTTACAACTTAAAGGAATCATTAATTTAGGTGCTCGAAATTATTTTATTCTAATATTATCTCAATAGGATTCATGACCTAAAATCACCATTCACGGCAATTCGTGCTGTTTTTCATCAGTCATCTTCTTGTTACCGTGTCTGGTGCTTCTCCACGCAACTAAACCTTAGTTCTGTGTTCGAGGGAATCGCTCCTGCTTTGCAATTGATGCTAACAAAGGGTTACACGTAAGTGAGACGGCAAAGCAGACATTGCCTTTTAGTTAGTTGTACAGGCCGACACATTAATATTAACATAATATTTTAAATGGTACGAATAAAACTAAAATGTGCGCTCGTACTTCATTTTTTTTTTCTGCTTCAGATATTAATTTTGGCTGCTCCAAGAGCTGCTGCAAAATTTATTCAGACCGGTAACATCACGGTATGCATCATTTTCCAAAGCACCAGCTGTTCGTGCAATTTTTAATGCACCCGAAAATGCTCGAAGTAATATCGGAATGAAGGATCGATCTTGATTTTTTTTTTTTTTTTTATTAGATATTTAAGGAGGGATGCTTAGGTATGGCGAGCTTTTTTTGAATAACCTTGATAAAGTGTGGCTGGGCTGTCGGTTTAAGTTTTGTCGTGTTTCTTGTTTTTGTTACAGTTACCGCCTATACGCCCAAACTTATCAGGGACCTTAATACGGGCCTCCAACCTTCTTAACTTGAAACTAAATTGGCTTTAGCAGCAGACGAACGCAGGCTTGGAAATAACCAAAACAGATTCTGTTGGAACTTTTTTTTTTAGTAGGGCATGTATTTATCGCCTGTACGCTTAGTCTGTATTACAATAATACTCTACATGCAAAATGTCATTAAGGTGCGTGTCGCAGCTTTATTTTTAACTGAATAGAGAATTTCCCAATTTCATTCGACCTTACGAACTTGCGCAAAAAAAAAAAAATCCAATTCGACAGTGAATTTATTTTTATTTTAACGATATTGTAGTGGAATACTTTCGTTTTGTTCGATACCCGGAATAAGCGTGTTACAGCTAGAGGGTCACTCTTCATCAATCAGCAAGTGACTGCTGCAGCGTTCATTTATAAACAGAAAGAATGGCACTTGTCATCGATGCTAATACCGTAGTTACGTGAGCACCCTTAACCGCAGTTAAGTGTGACTGAAGTCAGACTTAGCCGCGGTTAAGGGTGCCCCTGTAACAGGTGTATAGCTAACAGCAACCGCTGACCACATCTTAAGCGTAACTGCGGTTTAGGATGGCCGCACCTTACCCGCGATTAGAGGTGCCCGTGTCACACTTCACTGCGACGTCACACCCAACTGCGGCTAAGGCTGCCCGTGTAGCTATAGATACAAGCGGTATGCTCTGTAGCGGAATTCGTCCCTTCCGAGAGCGACCGGACTAGCGCGCGTGGCTCGCTCTCAGCGATCGGGAAACTAACGCAAGCCACCGTGCTTGTAGCTCGACGGCTTGCGTGAACAGGCGACAAGAATGAAGATAACTGAGGTATAGGGACGTGACGTGAACGGTCGAAGACTACGCGCGATACGTACGAGGGAGAATTTTTCTTGCTGCATCCGAGCAAGTCTCGCGATTTTCGTATGCGTTGCCGCACCGCATACCTGTCCGGGTGAACTGTCTTGGCGCGCAGGGAACAGCGCACGTGGCCGACCAAATTAAATTACACGTGTCTTCCCGCTCCGTGCCAGCTGGCAATTTCCCTGGCATTGCGTGACTGTCATTTAAAACTGCAGCATTCACGTAACGCAGTTTCGACTGCGCGTGTCGTGGGACGTTAGTCGGACGTCTCTGGCACAGGGATGACGTGGATGAGTTGTCGAAGCGGCGTGTCACGTGATTGGATGAGGAGAGCATGGGGTGAATTTGCTTATTTCTCCGAGCAGGTTCCCCGGAACCTGCAACTTTCTCGCGACCAATACCCGGCCTTGGAAAACGGTACTGGTCTGTAGAGATATAAATATAAAAACATAATACTGACTGTAAAAAAATATGAAGAAAACATGTTCAAGGGGGGAAGGGGGGGGGGCACTACCCAGAGAACAATTTCTGCAAAAAAAATCGATTTTGAAAAACGCCATATTTTGCATCCACCAACACCTAGAAAGTATTCTCAGAAAGTTTCATTAGTTTACACCGCATAGTTAATTTTTTTAGAAATTATTTTCGGTCCATTGATGCGAAAGCAGAGGTAGGGGTTGGAACACTTTGAACGCATTTTTCTCCGTTCCATTTTTTTGGCATAAGAGGAAAGACTCACTCATTGTTTTTCCTAACTGGAATTTTATGGGCCATACAACTGTGGAATTGTTTTTTGACATTGTGGATTACTTTTACAAAGGATATTAAGATTTTGTGGACGATATAAAAGGCAAAAAAATATTTGATTTTTTACTGCTATATTAGCATAAAATAAATTACTTTTTGGAAATTTTGTTTTCACAGTTGCGCTCCCAGGCATTCTGCTGCCGATATAGAGTAGAAAAATGTTGGGTATTATACATTAGTTTCCTAACTATAATCTTGCTAACAAAGTACGTGTGTTCCTGATACAAACGACTATAATTTATTTTACAATTCATATATACAGATGGAACTTTGCATTGCATTCTGCCTTGCAACTTCCAGTATATACTGTAAATTTCATTCATATTAAGCCATAGGTTCAATAGTTAACCTTCTTGGGTAGTGTCCCCCTTAACGAAGGGTTTATTTCCTGTATGCAATCAGTTTTTATGTATTTATTTGCAAATACTGCACACCCTGTTAGGGCGCAGGAGTGGTTTACGTAAACTCAGTATTCTGTACAAGCAAGCAACAAATCACACGGCCGGAGTTATAGTTTCTATTTTAGCACGAATTATTTTGGTTTATGTATCCATGCCATCGGTCTAAATGCGCAATACCGTGTCCCTTCTTTTTTTTTTTTTTTTTTCTTTTTGTAAGCGCTTTAGGGATTAAACGGTGCTGTGACCAGAGGGGCGGATGCCTTTCTCTGCGCAGGTGGAGGGCGGCGGCTACACGAGCATCAGCAGCGTGCAGAACGCCAAGGCCACCAAGCCCCGGGACATGATGGAGAGCTTCTTCCTGGGCGAAACGCTCAAGTACCTCTTCCTGCTCTTCAGCGACGGCGACGACCTGGAACGCTACTCGCCGCACAAGTTTGTCTTCAACACCGAGGCGCATTTGCTGCCCATCTACAGCTCCTGAGAGCGCCTTGTGTGCGGACGCCGTGGACAGTGTGCAATGGCCCTACCTCGGGCATCCAGGAGGGACAGGCGCAACGAGACTTCAGTCACTTCGATACAGTTTGTCGTTGACCCTCGGAACATCCGAGACTTTGCGAAATGATCGCGTAATGTCGCTGGTATGCGATGGCCTTTATGGAAAGGATGCGCTCTCAAGGACTCGAGCGTTCATGTTAGTCATTTTTTGTTCACAATCGCTGTAATACGCCGAAGAACTGTGGCAGTCTGGAGACATTGCCGCATCTTTGAGGAGTGCAACCTCAGGTGTTCCGAAAGTCTGCGACAGATGGCGCTCGGAAGCCACGCCCAGGCTGCCTCCTCATCGGGCTCAAGTTGTTGATTTTTTTTTTCTTCCCGCTGTGGCGGTCCTCCAGGAAGTGCTTCTGGACCAACACCGCCGGTCGATGCCGTCAAACTGCGTATGGTGATGCGAAAAAGAGCTTCGCGACAAGTTGCTCCGGTAGAAGCTCTCTCGATGCTCATTGTTGTTGTCGATTCCCGGGATAGCTGCTGAAAGACTGACTACTCGCGTTGTGCCGGCAACAAACGGAGGTTAGTCATAGTGGGGGTTTGCCGTAAACACAAAGCAGATTTTTAAGCCAACGTGTGTCTACAAACAGGACAACCTCCTCCCATGAAGACCTCTGCACTCTTTCCACTTTAACTGAGCGAACGCCGATGAGGAGACAAGCGGGAAGCGGGAATCACAAATAATGGCGACCATAGAGCTTTGTGGGAGGAGTTTGCCCTGCTTTTCTTAATGTACAACAGGCTGTAGTCAGGCTTAACCGGGCTAACCATGTGCGTGGACTGATCTGCGTCATTCCCTGGGACATATTTATGAGCTCCATATAGTTGCCTTCCAGAGGTTGTGAAAATGCGAAGCCTGACACGCACTCACAGGTCTATTAACAGAAGTGAAGGTCGGAGGCTGCCTAAAGGGTATCCTAGCTTGCGGTCCGGTTAAGTCTGTTTCTGACTTTATTCTTCGTGGACATTGAGCAATATCAGAAGCAAAATCCCAGTTAGGGAATGCGGTATTTGTAAATAAATATAAATAACTAAATAATGAAGGCAGTCTCGGGAACTCGTTGGCGCACTTCGCCCGACCGACACTGTGCATGTGGCATAACGGCCCGAAATGAAGCGTGTGCTTCGATACTTGGGGACAGGGCAGAAGATGGGAGTCCCAGCTTATAGGATTAAATAAACAAACTGACGCAATGGCAACTAAGCATCCGTCTTTCTTCTAAACGCAAGTTCCGTGACGGGCCTCGCCCTCTTCAATCGAGTCTTGCGATGGTGGCATCGCTTTTGTGATATTGTTGTCATGGTGTCGTGATATCGTTCCTGTCGTCTTTTCTTCGAGCCAAAATCGGTGTGTCGTAATAAACTGCTGACATTCCACGAACGTTAATATGTTCCGAAAGTGTGACGTTGGAAAGGGGACGTCGCAAGGTGGGCAATTATCAAGACGAGACTCATCTCGGTGTGTGTGCCTCAAACCAGGCAGGTGTGTCGTCTGAAGCGTGGTCCCGCACGTCCTTGTCAATATCGATTCTTCGCAAGCGCATACGTCGCCGATGACAGACATACCCGCATGCCGTGGACATATGACCGCAGACTTGTGGCCATTTGTCAAAACTATTTCTACACTCACGACTGGTGTGTGTGACGGGAGGAGGGTTTGAAGCAAAGTCTAGCGCGAAGCGTAAGTTCGTCTGCTTCTTTTTCAAGGGTTGTGGTGACGCCAGAACGCCGATCTCTGATTGACTCTGATTGAAGGATGTAGTGGGTAATCCTCAAGGCAGCTTGCTTTGAGGTCTACCCACCCTCTGTAATTCAATCAGCTCGGCGTTCTGGCGTCACCACAAGCCCCGCAACAGAAGCGGACGAACTTGCGCTTCGCATAGTCCGTTTCACTTAGACCATAACCGACGATCCGAAGGAGCCAATCAGCATCGCCGAAAGCATGTCGTCACGGCGCTCGTTGTCTTTAGGGAGTTTTAGGGAAGCGTTTTCGCACATCCGATACGGTACGATGGGCCCTCCGGTACGAACTGCGCATGCGCTGGTGCTAGAAGATTCGCACATGCGCAGTTCGTACCGGACGGCCCATCGTAACCGTATCGCCCGAAGGAAAAATCCATCAATGTAACCCTGTTTGGCAGTCAATGTTTTCTAGTGGACCGCTGACTGTGCCTGACTGTACGTCAAGCATGTCTGATTGGCCAACAAGTTACTCTGACCGACAGTCAAACTCCAGTCAGACCCCGCTTGTCGGCTTTCTGATGGTTTCCTGGTGGCAGTCGGCCGCCGCGAAATTCCATCAGGATGTCTTGGTGGCGATTCTGACTGTACATCGATTGTCTCTGACTGTACGTCAAAAAGCTTTGACTTGCAGACAGACGTACGGTCAAAGGACGTAAAGTTCGTTCGGACACCACTATTTGTCAAATCTATGAATACGAAAAGTAATCTATGCACGAGAAAACGATTTCGGGACGTGAGCCCATAAAACCGCTGACGTTAGAGATATGACACGCAACCGACCGACAACCTTGATCAGAAGCCCGCCGAAGCGCCGAAAACGACACTTCGCTTCGCCCATAGAGGCTTCGCCGCTTCGCCGAGCTTTCATGAAGGATCGCTCTCGACTCGTTTTGTTTGCCCGCTTGCTCCAACCTGTCGATCCTGCCCGGGCTCTACAATGTCTTATGTTTTAGTAGAATTTCTACCCGACAAGACCCAGCCTGTTGTGAGTTCCGACGATGTAAGGGACTTTAGCGGTGTAGTTGAAGACGACAAGGTGTACCAGGTCTACTGGGCCGGTGACGCGCGAACAAAAGGATCGCTCTACGACCCGAAAGTACTCTACATGGCAGGTGAGTAGAACTGAAGTACGGCGAGTGATGTACGAGTGCTTTGTATAACATGCTGACGGCTTAACTGCATTTGCCGCCGAAGCATCTCGTATAAAACGATTAGTGAAATCGAGTTTCAAAAACGGTGCGATGGCATAGTGGTTAAGGTGTACTATTTGTACGCAAGTGGTCGCGGGTTCGATGCGCGGCGGTCCTGCTTTTTTTTTTTTTTTTTTTTTTTTTCCTCGAACATTTTGTTTTATTGAGGCATTTGGCGATATTTATGATTGCGTATAGCTTTAATCTTATATAAATGCTGCCCTTGTTGATGAAATTCCCTTGGCAGTGGCAGTCAGACGTCATCTGATGGACCATCAGATGACGTCTGATGGTCCATCACGTTCCACCAAGGCTGCTGACTGGCAGTCAGTGTCCCAAATTACGTACCTTGATGGAATTTTCAATAGGGCGGGTGTGCAAAAATGGTTCCCTCAAACTCTTCTGTGGGTATGCCTTCACCGGCTGAACTAATCACGCGCAGAAGAAAGTGCAGGGTCACGGCGCATTCGCCGTGCGTGATTGGTTTATCCGGTGCTAGTACACGCACAAAGGCGACCAGCACCGTGATGATGCACTTTTGGCGATGCTTGTTTAGCACCGTCAAATCGTGGCGTTGACTGCTGTGGGACTTAAAAGAGAGGTTTAGTGGATCGTTCCGATACCTCCGATAACGATACGATGCACGCGCAAAGGCGTCGGTGGGGTATTGACCCTGTAAGTGTGACGACATCGCTTCAAACAAACCGTTGCTAGGGGCGTTGTTACGGACAAATACATGGAACTGGAATCCGCTCAAAAAAAAAAAAAAAAAACGATCCGTCCAAAAAAAAAAAAAAAAAAGGGGGGGGGGGGGGGGGACGTTGAATTTTCACGTTTAAAAATAATGAAGGAAGCCTAGATTTCACACTTACCACGACCGAAGTTTTCGGCTGTTTCTGAAATATTTGCGACGGCAACTTCGTTCCTCGAGACGTCTCGAGATTTCCTGCTGCAGACGACGAAGGCATGCCGAACGCACACGGAATGACTGAAGTATGCCGTCTGCAACAATTCGAGTCGTTTGTACAATGGTACGATTTTGATTTTGCTTTTATTTCGAGCATGCAAGTCTAAGAAAACTAATCAGATTTATAAGAACGAATTGTATTTGCGTACGTACGATATGGGACACTGTCTGACAAAGATATTCACACGAATTAAGATCTGCTAAAAAAAAAATATGCGAGAAAAGCATTTGTTTAGAACATGATATCAAAGCAGCGTAGGCGCTCTTTCTGATTTCGCAGTTAACATGCATTGTTAAACAATTACAATGCATTGCCATAAAAGAGCAATTAATTTGACTCTAACATGAGCTGTTTGAGACCCCAAACTTCGTTTTCCAGGCTCGCAACATGGGTGTGTGTTTCGTACCTGCCTTTGATATGAAACTTAGAAAAAAATCCGGATTCTTCTGCTTTAAGTCTGCAGACTGAGAATAAACGCTTCTACGTGTCTCTAGAAGATGCGAGTTTACTCTCACATCGAGGCTAAGAGATGAGGAGGTTAGAACGACCTTGCTACTGTCAGCCTCGCCCTAGCTCACTAACGAACATTCCAGGTAGAATGCTCGAGATGGTGTAGATAAGAAGCCGAGCGCGGCTTTGTCGACTAATCAGGCGTTCACAGCTCACACGCCGACGCATCCTCGCTTGCTGCTGCCGCCGTCAACGCTCATCCTTTTTTTTTTTTTTTTTTGGCACAAGTTTTTTGATTAAATCTTTATTTTCTATTTTACGCTTGTCGATCTGTTTCCATCTGTGATCATACATAAGGTGTCCCAAGTCACCAGGCTCGATCTAAATTGACCGTAAAAATCGACGCCCGCACGTAGCAATCTCAACTTTCCGTCAGAGGTGTATTTCGCAGGTCGGTTTTTTCTTGTAAAATTACAAAGCGTAGCTCGCTTTCTGTAAAGAATAGGGACAGAAAACTTGCCAGGGTCAACGGCGGGCGGCGACGTAGACAACGAAGTCGAGTTGCGGGGCGCGTTTGGCGCGCGTATTGATAGATGGCGGCGGGAGTAGCGTTGGGAGGTGTAGCCGACCAGCGAAAGAAAGCAGGCGACACGCAGACGAAATCCGTTGGCAGCAAAAACGCCGTCGTTATGGAAACGCGTTTTTTCCCCCTTTAAGTTCTGCTTTTGTGTCCGAATTTATTTTTTAACCAAAGGTACATTACAAAAAGATGAGGCTCATGTTATAAATCCCGGTGTTCTGATTCTATAATTGGACGTTATACATCATTCATACTATGCATTACTTGATTTGAAGCTGCCGGTCCCAGAAATGGGACCAAACTCTTCAACTCACCAAATAAACATTGAATTGAATTGAACCCGGGTGGTCGCGAGTATGCAGTCTCGATTAGGGGGAGCAGAGTTGCGCATTTGTTTTCCCCGCACCGCCACGCCGCTATTCGCCGAGACCCATCACGTGAGGAGCAAAGCATCCGGTGGCGTGTAAGAAAGCCACCTTTACGGTCGCTCCGCCGACGTTTTTCGCGCCCCGGCGTATATGTTCTGTAGAAGAGTATGCACTTGGGCTAGTTGGTGATCCATGTTTGTGAGGGTAAAAGAAACGTACAACACAGAGCGCTACTTGCAACTGAAGTTTATTCTCAGGAAACACACATATATATACACCGTGAAATCGCGACATGTACTTCAGAAATGCGACATCACCCAATCAGTGTTCGTCTGTTCACTATCTACTTTAAGAAAGATTTCAAAAACGCCATCTCAGCGCCAAACAGGGCTATAGACGGAGCGCTGACACACGTTCCTTCAACGCACTCGGATATGAAAAAATCTCGGATATCTCCCTTGGGCCTTGTCATTTTGTTTCGGTTTCGAGCCAAGGTAATGGTGTTGTCAAACTTCGGGACACACCCACACCTGTCACAATGCACAGCCAGATTTCCCGAGGGTGACGATCGAACTGACAGTGCATGCTCCCTGAGCCTATCGTTTATACAACGTCCCGATTGGCCTATGTATACTTTGCCACATGATAAATGAATCTTGTACACCACGCCCTCGCTACACTCCACATACCTGGTCTTATGTTTCTTCTGACAGACACCGACGCGTGTCTCCCCTCGTCCCACTTTTCCACACAATCTGCCCAGTTTTTCGAGGAGCTGGGAGTAATACGGGAACCCTATGTTTTTGCCCCACTTTCTTTATACTGTGGCTCACCTTATGAACATAAGGTATTACAACTGGTCTACACCTCGGCTTCTCTCCTACAACACGATATCCTCCCCGTAGTTTCTTTATCAGGCCCTCTGCCACCCCCACAAGAAGCGTAGGTGGAAAGCCTCCTTCCTCTAGCTTTAATATCTGCAAACTAAAGCTGTCTTTTATCTTATGTGGGCAAGACTTCGTCAAGGCGGCTCTCAGGCATGTAGAAGCAATTCCCCTCTTAATTACTTTTGAGTGATTAGAATCAAA